AGGTCGGAAGTCACTTCTTTATATATTTCTTTTCTCTTTATTATATTCTTACTTTTTTCTTCTCTTTTTTTCTTTTTCCTTCCACTTTTTATCGTTTCTACAGTATTCTCTTCCTTTAAGTTTGGTTTGCATTAGATTTTACTATTATAATAAAAATTCTTAATAAAATTATATCCATAAAATGCATACATATTCATTCAGTATTTAATTGCATTAATCATGTCACATCTACTCAAGCCCTTAACAAACAAGAGATGGCAGTCCTGGATGTTACGTAAGTTCAGCAGAATATAATGTTGGTTTCTGCTTGTTTTTAACACTCTATTTTAAATATATAGAAATGTACTGATGGGTAATAGCATGCTTAATTACTGAGCATATAATTCATAGGCAAATTTATTTAATCCCAGTTTTCCAAGTCAGGTTTATGAAACCTGAGATGACCATCATGGCCTTGCATATTTCCACAGATTCTGGCTTCCATCAATCCATAGTTCTTCCGATTATGTTTAAAGCAGAAAACTTACTATTTGTTTTTAATTGTAGGTTAATAACCCAGTATATGACATTTTATGGCATTATATTTAATTGTTCTCTCTCTCTGCTACATTTTCATATGTAGGCTAGAGGTTGTCCTCTCATAAAATAACTAAGTAAAATTTCATGGATTACTATAGACTGTTCTGAAAGCTATTTGCCTACATCAGATCAAATTAAATTGGTGCTCTTACAATAATTGATAGTTCAAAATAAGAACATAAGGTAAAAGAAACAGCAAGAAAAAAGGCATGAGGTTAAGATTCAGATAAAATTCAGGGCCCAAGTAATTTGTAATTAACCTGTTACTTTCCTACAGTGGCAACCCTGAGTATGAATCCCTAGTCCATTTATAAGTAATATGTTCATATCAGTATGAATATATAAAGAGGGTTTATTGTAAAGTAGGCTATATATTTCATATATTTTTCATAAGAAATTAATGAAATTTCTTTTCTTTCCTAGTTTGAGCAGTTTGAAAGTACAATTGGATTTAAACTACCAAATCATCGTGCTGCAAAACGTCTGTGGAAAGTATGTGTTGAACATCATACGTTTTTCAGGTATATAGTTCCTTTGTAATGGTTTGCTTCTAAGTATGTCACAATGAAAGAAGAATAAATTGGTCAAAGGTATATAAACAGGTATTTGTACAACATTCTTCTTGACCTCTGATCACGGCTGTCCGCTTAAAAATCTAATAGAAACATGCCAGATCTATTCTTCACAAAATGTAAATAAATTCTCGAAAGAATAGTTGAGAGCCAGTTTGGTGTTGTGGTTAAGGGCACTAGACTAGAAACCAAGAGACTGTGAGTTCTAGTCCTGCCTGAGGCACAAAGCCATTTGGATGACGTTGGGTCTGTCATTCTCTAGGAAAAAGGCTTCTAAAAATGTTACCAGGAAAACTGCAGGGACCCTTCTAGGCAGTCGCCAGAAGTCAAAACTGACTTGAAGGCACCAATAGTTAAGTGTGGGATGACATGTTGCTAATGTTATACTCACTGTGTTAGATTTCATATCAGCCATGACTATCTTAACCCTCCACATTCATATTCAGGAACTTGCTTATGGCAGAACTTTCACAGGTAGTAAATTTGCCAGAATTCCCATGGTTGAGAAATAATGATTTTAGATTAAATTGAATAAGCAAAGGAAATTGGGATTATGTATTTTTGGAATAATGTTATCTATGACAGAGGAAATGTGCTACTGACATGGGAGAACAGGTATTTCAGAATATCTTCTTCTTCAAAGATACGTTACATCGAGGATTCCATTTTGACAATCAAGAATGAGTTCTGTGGCAGTTCCATGTTTGTGACATCTCAGTATCACAGTTATATTGTATAGATAGTATTTAGAGAGCTCAAAAAGTCTAATGTATATAATTAAGCAAGATAAATGCTGCACTAAATTGCTAGAAAAAATACCTGCTTTTCTTTAAAAAAAACCCTGGTTATTAGCATTTGCTGATTAAGAATTGTCGTCAAAATAATCATTAATGTTATAAAAAACATTTTGAATTCAAAGCGATTAGAGCACAAAACAGATTGTTTTAATCTTATTGGAAACATGTTTAACGATATATAAGAATTGTTCCAAACTCAAAATTATGATTTTTAAAAATTTTCTATTGAAACTTTTAAGAGGTATATAAACATACATAAAAAGAAAATATGAAGAGAGAATAAAAACTAAAATACTGTTGAATGAACGAGAAACTTAGAAATGTCATGAAGATTATAATTTTCCAGTATAACATAGTTGTAGCTAACTGAAAGTATTATATTGCTTTAACAGACTAAAAATTACTGTTAAACTTTGAACTAAAAATGAATATTGAGAATATTGGTCAACACAGTCAATAATCACGAACTAAAATTATGGGCTATAATAAATTCAATCCATGTTAGTAAAAATCTGTTCTGTTTTTGATATCCAGTAAAATTAAATTATAAGCTCTCTATATAGAAAAACACCCATTTTGGATGTGATATAAATCCATGTATCAAGTTATACTCCAGGAATGCTTTCCAGTTTGAACCAAATGGTGCCTCAGATTTGAAGTTATTCTAGGCATTGAAGCATACTTCCACAACCTATTGAGCCATTCATCCATTGAGGAGATCAAACAACCTTTCCAGTAAAAAGCATATAATAACAATTAGCATACACAATGCTATTTTGGCATACTGTGAAGGGATCTATGGTTTAGTAAAGTTTAATAAGAATATTGCAGGTTCAAATGGGAATTCAGCTTTTAATATTTGTTTTATTCTAGTATAAATCATTTTTCAGAATGTTCAGTTTTATAGCATTGCCAGCAAATATGAAAAAAAAAAAAAAAGATCTGACCTACTGTTTATATTTCCAGCAATTTTTAGAAAATGAATTGTCTGTTTTAGCAATCAGAACTGGAGTAATGTACCAATGAGAGAACATAACAATTTTCTCTAAGTACAATATTCAGAGTAAATTTAATGTTCCTCTGTTGCAATTACATGATTGCATCTCTGTTACTGCATTCTAATTCTGCATCCATTTAATGATTCAGTCTTTGACTTGTGCAGATTCTGAATCATTCTTCACCAGCAGTTTATAGATAAAGCCTAGTAAATGTCCCAGATTGCATATTATAAGATTTTCAAATTCAGTCAGGCCTCTTAATATTCCCCTTGTTTCTGCAATTCTTTTTAGCACTGTATTACTTATTTGAATAAGTAATTGAATTCAGTATATTCAATCTGAAACCAATCTGGTAGACTGTAAGTAAGAGTTGCAAAAGATTTTATCTTCATTTTAGTAATAATTTAAACTTGCAATCTAAATTATTAAATCTCCGCTGAGTGAATTTCTTAACGCTTTCCTCTTCATAGAAATAAACATTTAATAGTGAAGCAGAAGGGGAGAAATTTGGGTTTACTCTTCTGTATTTATCCTAGATGTTCAGTACATTACTTATTATTACATGATCTCTTACAGACCATTAGTTTCTGTTTGTATCAGCTGAAATATATTTATGCAGACCATTTGAAAGTCCTGCCCCTTTTGGTATAGGGAGCCAAGCTGTTAGGAGATATAATCTACTCTGGAATCCATGTTAAGCAACTGGCATGATAATACAATTTAAAGTTTGTGACTACCCATCTGACTTTTTAAAAAAATCTCTTATCAGTACATTCAGAATATGTCTGATATTTCTTATCTACAAATCCAGACTGATCAGGATGTATCATTTTGTTTAAAAACATAACTTATTCTCTTTGCAAGTATTGCTGTGAAAAGTTTATAATCTATGTTTATTAAAGTAACAGATCCATCTGACAACCACATTTAAAGTTTGGAATATTCCATACACCATTGTATAATTGCTATTCGACAATAGTGTTTGTTGTACGCTGCATTTTTAATGTTGTTTAAAGTGATACTAAAGATCACCTCTCTTCAATTCAAGAACAGGGGAAAATAGCTTTGAAAACACGATCTTTCATTTCAGCTTAGAAAATCAGTCATTTGTAACCTTTGTCCTGTGTGATATATTCTAGACTCTTGCTACCAGAAGCTCCTCCAAAAAAGTTCCTTACACTAGGTTCTAAGTTTCGCTATAGTGGAAGAACACAAGCCCAAACAAGAAGGGCTAGTGCACTGATTGACCGCCCTGCACCTTACTTTGAACGTTCATCAAGCAAACGCTACACTATGTCCCGCAGCCTAGATGGCGGTAAGATATTCTTAATGGTCTTTCCTTGGAGCTTTGTCTCATTTTCTTTTTAAATAAAACATTGGGTTAGAGGACAGATTTAAGTATCTTGTAATCTCATGTCCCCTGAGCTTCTTTGGATTACGCTTGTAAGTATATGCATGATATGTCATTCATTATAAAATGCCTGTTAAATAAATATTTGCCCTTCTGCTTTTCTTGGCTTAATCATGTGGCAGTTCATAAAAGCTGTGGAAGACTAAAATTGCAGTCCTCCTCATTTATTACTTTAGCTGCTGCTGTTCTTCCTGCTACTGAAATTTTACCTTTCTTTTGTGCTTTTCAGAGTGCTGTAGCTATCATTGCTAGGGTGGTAAATTCACTCAGCTTGTATTTCAATGTTGACTGACGCAGTGTGCAAACTGAATGTAGTCCTACTATGGTATTTATGTTTTTCCAAAGTTTATGATAGAATTCCCCAGTTCACAAAAATAAATCACTGTGTGGAGTCCTTGGTGCTCTCTCTGAGCTTGATTGTTTGCTTGCATATGTTTCATTACCCAACTAGGCAACATCATCAGTGCTAGTGAGTGTGGGATGTACTCGTCTGAATAATGAAATCTCCTTAATCTCGCAACACATGGACAGACTCAAACCATAGTTTCAACTGGAAAACTGTGAGCATCCTAGACCAAGCTAAATCCAAAAATGCTAGGGAATTCCTGGAAGTTCGGCATTCAAACAAATCAGCTACCAGTAGACACATAGAGATAAACCACATTTACCCACCATTCAAAAGAGACAATAAAAAAGCTAAGAAGGAAACAAAAAGACCAGTACACATCCTCTCCAGCAGCCAACACCCAGATAAACAAGGATTAATTAATCTCGCAACACATGGACAGACTCAAACCATAGTTTCAACTGGAAAACTGTGAGCATCCTAGACCAAGCTAAATCCAAAAATGCTAGGGAATTCCTGGAAGTTCGGCATTCAAACAAATCAGCTACCAGTAGACACATAGAGATAAACCACATTTACCCACCATTCAAAAGAGACAATAAAAAAGCTAAGAAGGAAACAAAAAGACCAGTACACATCCTCTCCAGCAGCCAACACCCAGATAAACAAGGATTAACACCAGACAAACAATTATAAAAACAATACCCTAATCAAGGAACGACCAAGGAGAAAGTCCCAGCCCCACCAACACTGGCAGGGCAAGCTACTGTATATAAACAGGGAACAAACCCCATACTCGCTAGCACTGATGATGTTACCTAGCTGGATAATGAAACGTCTGCAAGCAAACATTTTTGTCAACCAAGTGTTAAGGACCACAGTTCAATCCTGAGCTACATATATTCTCTTTTATAAATCACTATATTTGAATGATTAATATTAAAAAAAACCTTTGCATTAGGAAACATAGTTTATATATATTAGGCAAAATTGCCTACAGATGTGTATGTTAGAAGAAGTATGTCAGTTGGTGCAGATTTTCATGTGGACTTCCATAAAATGTCAAAGGTAGAAAGAATAAAACTAAGTTTGGAAAAAGGACAAGTCAGGGAAAACCAAAAGTGACCAATTTATCCATTCTTAATCTTTGCATTCAGTTAGATGTCTCTTGGTGATCAGAAAGTATTTTCAGTCAAGATACCAAAATAGTAGTTAGCATATGTTCATACAAGTGACCAACATGGAAAGAAGTCTGGTACTATTGCTTATTACATACCATTCAAATTATTATTCAGAGTCTGTTTCTTTATGTTACAAATTGGTATCAGTAAGTTTCATGATGGCAAGTAAAAAACAGAGTAGTTATGACATTTAGCCAGGAGAGCTAAAGGACTTAGCGGAAACTGAATAGACATGGGCCTGAAAATATTGAATGAGTCATCTGAATGACTCAGTATGGGTATTTTTATTATTAAATTTAATAATTTGGATTCCAGTACTGCAAGGGCTTTCCAACTGCATTTCCATGATACCCTTAAAATGAATCTATGTGATTCTACTCTCCATGAATAAAAATGGGATTGGGCCAGAAATAAATATGCCGTTATTAATAATTAAGTTCAATTACTTTAATAATTAAAACGATGATAGAACTTAGAACTTTGGAAATCAGCAACAAAAAAGTCCAATAAAATAATTCATATATTTAAAGTAAAGGATGAACTTGCTTGTTTTGGCAGAATTCCTGAAATCTGAGTTTTATTTTTGAAGACACCCACTCTTAATCACCAAAAGAAAAGTGTATCATTTCCTTCCCTTAAATTGGCCTCTCTTAAACTCCTGTTAAATGCTGCAGCTTGCAAAACACTAGCAAGTTATAAGTTGCTTTTGGAATTCTTTCTCTGAGCATAGCAGCAGCAAGATAACAAATCATGGTCCATCTGCCTTTTTCTTTCCAGCCTGGTGCTTAGAAGGTCCTCTCCCCATTCTTGCAGTTTCTCTTCTCTCTTCCATTCTGTGCAATTCACTCTGCAGACTAAGGGTCAAAGCTTTGCATAGAAACCATGTGCCTTCCAGGCATGATTATTCTTATTTGAAAGGCAGATATGATGTGTTAAAAAGACAAAAAGGACACTCAGGTTGAGTGAATGGCTCTGGAACTGTAGCTTTCCTTTGAATTCAGCATACTTTTGCATCAAATTGATAAGTTTGTTGAGAAAGAATTTGCACTCTTCAGCAATCCTTCATCCATTGTCTTGTGACTCCATGCTATGGAGGCTATGCTTTGGGAAAGACGGTTATTCAGAACATAAGGTTGGAATCACTGATCTAAGTGGCTTCTTCCAACTCTGTAATTGTATTTACGCTCCAATTTTCTTCCATGGAACCATAAATGACCTGTCTGTAACAAAAGTCGGATTCGTTCAGCTAAACTACCAAATCATAATCCTTTGGATTCATGAAGCTCACTACTTGCAAATGTACAATAAACTTTTTTATTCATTTATATAAATTTTATTTTTCCCATATAATATGGATTCATTGTGCTTCTACTTACTTTATTGCATAATACATTTACTGCAAGAAGAGTATTATGTGCTAGCTTTCATCTCTTAATACAGAATTTTTATACCTTTATTTCATGTAGTCTTAAATTATTTGTACATCCTAGAGCTAATTGCACTTGTTTCATAGACCAGAAAAGAACTCACCTATATTAAAATACTGAAATTATATCCAACAGCATCCTTCTCATGGCAGACTGAATCCTCTCTCTCCATTGCAGCTTCTTTTAACCGAATTTTCCAAATCTGTTCTGGAGAATTCAGGAGACATGCTGGAAGATGAAGAGGGGATAGGAAACTCTTTCTTGTATGAACAGAAGTCTTGCATAATGATAGATTGAGAACTAATTTTCAGCATTTGCATGCATAGATTCTTTTCATGAAAAATGATGAAGATAGGCTATATGCGATAAAAACTCTTGATCCAAGCTCTGTGAGGAATGGTTAAAGGATCTGAATATTAAGGGATGGGAAATTATGGTAGCTGTCTTTAAATATCTGAAGGATTTGTCACACAGAAGAGGAAATGGCTTATTCTGTTTTCCCAGAGGACAGGACCGGAACCAGTGGGTTAAAACCACAAGGAAGGAAGCTCTGGCTAGACCTCAGGAGGGATACGAGCTGCCAATCAGTAGAACAGACCGCCAGAAGACATTCTGAGTTCTTGTTTGCTAGAAGACTTCAAATAGAAGCTGGATGGTCATCTGTCAGATATGCTCTAGTGGAAAGGATTTCAAATTTTCTCAGGCCACAGAACCTGTTATTTAAAAAAACATTTCCCAGAAACCCTGGTATGCAGAATGGCATAGGATTTCAGGTGGGATTTAAAAAGAACCTCACTCCTAGTTTAGCTAGGCTGGAGGGAAAAGGCACTTAGGAGCAATAGTATCAGTCACCTAGTATTGCTGACAGATGAAGCAAATGCGTTCAGGAAACCATCTGGATGCATTAGACACCTAGACTAGTTCATTTTACCTAATCTTCCATTTCTACATGGGTTTACAGCAATTGCCCATCTAAAACAGGGAAACTGATCTCTCTGTGGCAACAGGCATGGAGACTGTCTATTGTCATACAGGGGATTCTTGTCACTTTCAGAAATGCTGCTCTGCACATTATTCAGGTGTGAGATTCTGTTTGTGAAGTTGGGCTCTGGGGAGTAGATGGGATTGCTGCTACTATACTGGCATCCCTGCTGCATAGCAGTTTCCCTGTGTCAGCTGCTTGACACTGTGATTGAGTTGAGGGTAAGTTTCCTAGACTTAAGGAACTAGAAGACTTCAACCTGCCTTCCCTGTGAATATGAAGCAGCTCGGGAGTTCATGGCCACCATGGACCTGACCCAAGTCATCAGGGTCCCAGCGCACAGTGGGTATCATACAATGGATCTGGTTTTTGTCTTGGGGCAGTGGCAAAATGATCTGGAGTTGGGGGATGTTACTGTTTGTCCTTTGTCATGGACAGATCAGTCTTTGATTGCTTTGCAGTTACCCATATCTTTGGAAGGCCCTGTTCATCTTACTGGACATTCATATTAATCTGTCATCCTCTCATCATCTACAATCTGATGAGCAGTTGAAGAAAACAAACCCATTACTTGAACAGTATTTTCACTTCTGTGTTTCTTGCCATCAGAACAAATGGACTAAATTATTGCCTCTTACAGAATTTGTCCAGAACTACTTGACATCTCTCTTCTTCAAACAGTCTACCGCTATTACCCCCACAGTTTGCCCTCAGCTTTTGTCTGCACTGTTCCTCAAACCTCTTACTTTTTCCAGGAGAAGTGGGCTGCTCAGTTCCTCTTAAAGGAAAAGTTAGATTTAGCCAAGGCTGTGTACATGCATGCCAGAGATGCAAACAGACAAGATACCACCAAGATTATGGTGAAGGATTTGGCATGGCTTTCCAATAAGTTTTTACCTTCTTGCCCATCCAAGAAGCTAGACTCAAAGTTTATTGGCCCCTTCCCAGTTACACATTGTTAACCCAGAGTTCTTCTGTCTATAATTCCATGCTTCAATGAAGCTACATCGAGTATGTAACCAGTCACTCCTTGTTTATGTCCCTTGCATTGTGCTTCCCCCAGCCCTGGTTCAGATAGATGGAGATGGGGAAGAGAAAAGTGAGGTGGAATATATTCTGGATTCTACATATTGAAGGGCATGTTTATAATACCTTATTCATTTGAAGGGCTACCCTGAATTAGAGAATTTGTGGGATGGGTCAAAGGATGTCCATATACCACAACTTGTCAATCAGTTCCATCTGAAATTCCTACACAAGTCTCATCCCCATGAACTGCCATGACACCCATTCCCATGAATTGCTACCAATATCAATAGACCATGATCCCCAAGACAAAGGAGATTCTGTTTCCTGCCACATTGGACCTTCCAGTTGTAGTTTCCAGTGCAATCTAAGTCTTCTCTGCCAGATGTATCTGTTGATCTTCGTGACCTTCTAGGCCCAACAACAGCTGAAAAAAGAGGGAGTAATCCTGTGTCCATTGTCTTGTAACAAATTGCCAGGGTCCAAGTGGTGATGAATGCATCCTTGAAGAAGGGGTTGATTCTATCCACACTTAAGGGAGCAGGAGTCTGCCCCATTTTCAAGGAGCCATTGCTGAACCCAATGATTTTGAACAATTTCCAACCTGTCACCAAATTTTTCATTTTAGGCTCTGGAGGAAACAGATTGTCTGGATCCCTATCGGTTGGGTTTCAGTCCTAGCCATAATACTGTGATGTCATTGAACATGCTTGTGGATGACCTATTGTGGGCAGATATGGGGGTGGATCTCCTGGATCTCCAAGCAGCCTTCAGGGTAGTCAATCATAGTATCCTTCTGAACCAACTCAGAGGATTGGGAATGGGGGGCACAGTGTTATGGTGGTTTTTCTCCTTCCTCCAGGGCTATTCCAGTCAGTGTTGAAGGGGGAGAGAGCCTAGCCTTGGCCCTTGTCTTTTTGTGCCTCAGGGCTTGATTTTCTCCCCACTCAAGAGCCACTGAGTGAGGTCATCTGTCAGGATGGGGTTAAATATCAGTATATCAGCAGCAAGCATTCAGTATTGCAGACAGCTGGATAAAGCTTCTGATCAGTGAGAGAAAATGAAAATGAAGCAAATTTAACAAAAGTTAAAACACCTAAAAGA